AGCAGGAATCTGACAGAATGAACTACATGGATGTCTTCAGTACAGAGATGTTTATAACTCTCCAGTTGCAGGGTAAAAAGCAAGAGTTACGAAGCAAGCTGTAGTATTGGCTCTTCAGGTCAGATGTACCAGGAATTACAGAGCCAACAAGCGGAAGATTCTTGCACAGAAAGGCAGGCAGCTCTGTCCTCAACACTGGCCACTAAGACAGGAAATGCAAGGCCAAAGGAAAGCAGCCTCTGTGTAAGCACAGTGTAAAGGGTGGCTTGAACTGGCTGCTGAAATGAGTGGAAAGGCAGCTGCTGGTCAAGATGCTTCATCATCACACTTTGCATATCTCAGTGAGGGACTGAAGACAGCAACAGGACTTCATTAGCCATTTTTGTCAGTGACAACACACAAGTGTCCAGGAGTCAATCCGTTTAGGTAATAGGTCCTTTAATTTTCAGCTATGTTAATTAAAAAGTGATCCAGTTTATCGGTTTCCTTACGGAGTAAATATTCAGGAGATTTAAGAAGCAAATACACCATATCCAGGAATTGTTTATCAACGCACCCATTACGATGTATAGGTTTGCACAATCTGAAAAATTAGTATCTTCATCCAAAATGCCAATGCTGGAAGGAAGGGGAAGCAATTTAGGAGAGGAAAAAGAGTTCTCTGAGTCAGTTATTAAAATGTCGAGCTTACCCTTGCTTACCCTTACCTTCTCTGAGCAGGTTCAGGAGACGATCAAATCTATAGTTACTGTTAAAGTCATCCAGAGGAATGATGCTGAGTCTTAACTTCTTCAATGCTTAGTTAACCATACATACATCATACCTACCATACATCCTCCAAACATCCATCAGAAAGGGATGCATAAGAGAAACTGCACAAACCACTCCAAGATATTTATAAACAAATTATTAATGGTCACTTCATGTTAGCTCTGAGTTACCTGTATTTCTGAACAGACGAATACTCTCCTGCCTCTTAAGTTTAAAAAGTATTCCAGCTCCAGAATATAGAAAGTTTTAACATTAAGGCATACATACAGCTATGTTGTTTGCTTTCATTTAATAAAGATCAATTTACTCATACTCAAATACATGGAATGTTGGCACAAAACTAAAGCTCTTGTGGAACAGCTACCAATCATACACAAATATTCTGTGAGGTCCTCTTGACTTGCATTTCTCCGAGAGATACACCACAAAATGGCTTCAATAATACAAACTGAATGCTGGATCAAATCTCTAAATAATAAGTAGCAGTTAAAGTAAATGGTTTGCTTTATTTGTAAATTATGTACAGAATACATTTTTTTTTTAATTATGATGGGGCAGGAGAAAGAAAACAGCCATAATTTCGAAACTGTGCTGCTTCCTTCACCTGCTGGAGATGACATCTTTCTCTGAACCAGATGTACAAAACCAGTTTGGATTTCCTCAGTTGCTGGCACACAGTCTGGAGAAACAGTGAACACTGCAGCCAAATTCAGCACTAACAGTTTTCATATTTTCAGCAAAATACTTCTGCTAAAACTAGTTTTCTTAGGAAAGTTTTCACAATCTTTTGACAATAAATTCAAGAAACATATCAAGAAAGCTGTGGGCTAAGAAAGGCTTTACCTAACTAGCTATCAAATGAGTATAACTAGGAATAATCTGAGATTTGGTCATTCAACTTTTACCTCTTTTACAAAAGCAAGTTTGAGAAGCTAAACTAATCGACCAGTTATGCAAGTACCAGAAAACTATGGTTTTCAGTATGTTTGAGGACGATCTGGGCAATCTATCAATCAATAGAAAACTTGTCAGATTGATAAAACTTCTGTAAATGGATATTTATGATTACCATAGTACCAAGTAATCAAGTTAATGGTTAAAAAAAATGAAGGAACTAGATATAAAACTGTTTGGTAACACGTATATTTCAGCAAACAAAGATGCTACTGTATGGTCTATGTTTTGGTGATCAGCCAACGAAGAAAATCCAACCATTTGCACATACTTAGTCCCAAAACCACAGTGAGTTATGATTTTTCATGTGAAGGCCTACTTTCGGTATCCTCCTCCTCCTCTTCCTCTTCACAATCCCCTTCATCTGTTTGCTGTTCCAGTTCCTCTTTTGTGATCATTTCAAAGTCGTTTCCATTTCCACTACTGTGCTGGGACCTGTCGTCTTCACGCCTGTCACTGTCAGTGTCTGAATGTCGCTCTCCTCCTGAGCCATCTGTTCCCGAGTTCCTCGTTGCTTCTGTTTTCCCATCGTCTTCTTCCTTCTTCTCGCTATCCGATTTCTCCTCACTGTCGTATTTTTGCTGCTTTTTGGATTCTGATTTTTCCTCTTTCTTTGAGTCTGCTTTTGGTCCTTTGTATTCATGTGTGTACAGGGGCCTGAAGGAGTCAATGAATCCCACGTCTGCGGTAAGATTTGGCAGGAACCAGAAGTGATGCCTTCCTCCAGTGATGAGCCAGATCATAAGGAAGAGGATGCAGCGTGCTGCATAAAAAAGGAAAAGGAAAAATTTTGGTTTCTATTCTAAACATCTGCACTGGATGACTACAGTGTAAGAGAGATCCACTGCTAACACCCGCCCAAAGCCAGGGACAGGGGTGTCTCTGGGGGCAACTCTCTCATTCTGCAATAGCATTGTGGAGTAGTTCTCACCCCGTCTCCTCCACCCCATTAACCTTGTATCTCATAGATGATTTAGCTCTTTATCCCCTCTGCTAAAGAAGTACAAGCCAAAGAAAGCTTCAAAATCCTGCTTACACCATTCTCACCACTGAATCTGTTTTTATATACAGTTCTTGGTTTGCTACCCGCCACCAC